GAGAGGATCTCACACAAGTAAATGATTACAATCCATGTCAGCTTGATTCCAAAGCCCGAGTCCCTCATTATTACCGCATGGACAGATGGAGAGACTCGTAGATCTGCGGGGTTGTTGCAGTCAGGCTGACTGGACCAGGTACCCCATACCGGGTGCGGCCCGCGGCCACTAAGGCTACCGTACCGGCGACGCGTGCGCAGTGCCGTGGCAGCGCCCCCTGCGGGCGGCGCGCAGACAGCGGCGGCGGCGGCGAAGGGGCGCTCAGTGCGCCTGCGCGCGGGCGGAGGAGGAGGAGGAGGTGGTGGTGGTGGTCGTGGTCGTGGTGGTGGTCGTGGTCGTGGTGGTGGTGGTGGCGGCGGCGGACGTTTGCAAGGGCTCGGTTGGGCTCCGCGTGGCGGGCGCGGCCATGGCGCAGCCAGGGAAGCTGCTCAAGGAGCAGAAGTACGATCGGCAGCTGAGGTGAGCCGGGGCTCACCGAGCGTGGCGGGCGGGCCGGCCGGCTCCCCTGCGTCTGGGCCAGGCCTGAGCGCGCGGGCAGCGCGGCGGGGCCTTCCTTAGGCCTCCCGCCAGGCCAGGCCGTGTGGGGCACGGAGAGCTGGCGCTCAGGGCTCCGACCAGGGGCCTGGGGGCTCCGCGAGGGCCGAGACTCCCCCCATCTCCGTCTTGAGGAGTGCGGTCCGAAGTGTGCGATCCCAGCGCCAGCCGGGTCACCAGGGCGACCACCGGCCCCGCCTCTCCGCGCTCAGTCTCTCGTCTGCAGAATAGGGAAATTGGGGGTATCCCACCCCGGCGACCGGGAGCGATACCGAGTTTTAGGTATTGTTCAAAACCAGCGCTGTCCAATAAAAATATAAGGCTATACAAGCCACATATGTAATTGTAAATTTTCTAGTAGCCGCATGAAAAGTGAAAAGAGACAGGTGAAATTAATTTTAGCAATATAATTTATTTAACCGAGTATATCCAATACTACCATTTCAACGTAATCAGTGTAAAAGATAACTTACTAGAGATATTTTATTTTATTTTTTCCATACTGTCTTCGAAATCGGTGTATATTTTGCCCTTAACCAAAACTAAATCCGTTGCCATGGAGTCGATTGCGACAGTACATCTCAGTTTGGTCTAGCCACATTTCTAGTGCTCAGTAGCCACGTCTGGCTAAGCCAAAACCAAACCCGTTGCAGTCAATTTGGACTCATCGTGACCCCGTGTGTTAGAGTAGGACTGCTCCATAGGGTTTTCTTGGTTGTAATCTTTATGGAAGCAAATCGCCAGGCCTTTCTTCTGCGGTGCAGCCTGGTAGGTTCAGACTGCCAACCTTTAGGTTAGTAGTCGAGCACAAACAGTTTGAGCCACTCAGGAACCTGCCTTATTGGACAGTGGAGGTCTAAGCCATTAGGCTGGTCCTTTGCTGCTTTCGCTCTTGCCTTTTCTCTTCACACTCCCCCTTCCTTATTTATTGAGCATTTTGTATGTGTGGAAGCAATGGAGGAAACAAAGATACTTGGCTCCCTCCTCTCTGGAGCCCCCAATCCTGTAGAAATCACCTTATATCCCTAAGGACAGGAATTCCCATTTGCACTACTGCCTAGTGCTATATTAGGGACTTTTAGGCACTCAAGTCTAACAGCAGCCTTAAAGGCAGACCGTCTACTATACAGATGCAGAAACTGAGTCTTAGCCAGGTTAGGTAACTTGCCCATCATGTCTGCCATGTTTTTGAGCCAGGATTTAAACTCAGGCCCTTCCGGCTTTTTCAAAGAGCTGGTACTCTGTCATGTCACTTTGCTTTCAAGCTTCTGGGGAAAGAGACAAGGTGGCAGAGCTTTTGTGACCAGCTTATGTTCTTTTGTAAATTCTTGGAGTTCCTTGTGTTTTGAATGCAGATATAACCATATGTGACAGAGCTTAGAAGATATTTAAGGTTACTAAGCAACTGTAGTGGAAACCCTGGTGGCATAGTGGTTAAGAGCTATGGCTGTTAGCCAAAAGGTCAGCAGTTTGAATCCACCAGGTGCTCCTTGGAAACCCTATAGGGTAATTCTGTTCTGTCCTATAGGGTCGCTATGAGTCAGAATCAACTCGACCGCGACAGATTTTTTTAAGCAACTGTGAAGGAGCCCTAGTGGTGCAAAAGGTTGGCAGATCGAACCCACCCAGCAGTTCTGCAGAAGAAAGACCTGGTGATCTGCTTCTGTAAAGATTATAGCCTAGAAAACCCTATAAGGCAGTTCTCCTCTGTCACATGGGGTTGCTATGAATCGGAGTGGACTTGACAGCACCCAACAACAACAAGCAACTTTAACAAAAGAGGGGTTTTGCTGAGTTCTTTCCATTTAAGAACCATACTTCATCTTTTGTTGGGAGAACTGGTCATTGGCTTTGAAGTGTCAGAGGGAAGCAGTCTGAAGTGTAGTTGTCAACAAGGTCCTGGCTCCCCTTAGTTAGGCAAACGAGAGAGAGAGGATTGATTTCTTGTTTGGCCCTTTTCTTGAAATATGTTACTTAGGGATACACCATTATTCTCTAAGGCTCACTCTCTAACTACCCAAAAACCGGCGGCCGATGAGTCTATTTCGACCCGTAGCGACCCTATAGGACAGAGTGGAACTGTCCCCACAGGGTTTCTGAGAGCGGCTGGTGGACTTGAACTGTCTACCTGGGCTGTCCCACCAGTGCTCCCCAACTACCCAAGCATCCATTACCCAAATATATCGGAGTCTACTGTGTGCCCTACTCTTATGGAAAAAAAAAACAAAACAAAAAAACAGATGTTGCCAGCCGTCTAGTTCTTCAGACTATTCCTCCATTCTTTGACAACTGTTCAGTGATCACCCTGGGCAAGGCATTGTGCCAGGTATTGGGGCTCCAGTGGTGAATGGAAACAGAGGGAGTGTTAAGGGCCCTTATGGAGCTTAGAGCGGAGAGGGGAGATGGATGCTCAGCAAATAAAAAACCAATTGCAACAGTTAAAGGTTGTGATATCCTCTGGAGGATGCACCCCACCGGCTGCATGTAAGGGGAAAGCAGCTTTAGGTCAGGTGATGAGGAAGGCACATTAAAGTCCTAACGGTTTTCTAGGCTGCTAATACCTATCTGGCTATGGCAATTTTCTGATAATTTGGGTTCCCCCTATACGTCCTAGGAGCCCTAATGGTGGCAGTGGTTAAGAGATGGGCTGCTGACCAAAAGGTTGGCAATTCGAATCTACCAGGCACTGCTTGGAAACCCTATGGGGCAGTTCTGCTGTGTCCTATAGGGTCACTATGAGTTGGAATCGACTGGACAGCAATGAATTGGGTTTTTGGTTCTTATACTTCCTATGTTGTTAGTTGCTGTTGAGTCAATTTCAACCCATAGCGACCCCATGTGACAGAGTAGAACTGCCTCCTAGGGTTTTCTAGGCTGTGATCTTTATGGGAGCAGGCCGCCAGGTCTTTCTCCCCCGGCGCTGCTGGGTGGGTTTGAATCACCAGCCTTTCAGTTAGCAGCCGAGCACTTAACCATTGCACTAGCAGGGCTTCCTATAGTACTGAGAAGGAAAGATAAATTAGTTAATAGGTTTCCTGGGTGAAGGTCACCAGGTTGGCCCAGGTACCATGATTTGTGTGTGATCGTGTACCTTGCCCCCTTAACAATGTGCCATTATGAATCAGGTTATAAGTACGTTCCTGGTTCTTATTACATCTTTGTGTTAATTAATGTTTGCATTTATTAATCATGTGATTAGAATGTTCATTGTGTATTATATTTTAAAGCACTCCCCTAGAAGTTGGTGCGAAGCCAATGATAAGAATTCAGTTTTCTTGCTAAAATTTTTACTCATCTTTGCAGGTGTCACAGCGATAAGCCCTGTGTCAAGATCCTAAATGCACTGGATCCATGTAGCTTAAGGAGAAATGAAATAGAGAATAGGTTTCAAATCTAAGGCGCTTTAATGTTAATGAGCTGTGAGTTAAAGACTTCTGTAAGTTATCTGGTTTGAAGAGAGTAATGGACAAGGAGCCAGAAGACAAAGACCAGGTTCCTAGTTCTGATTTGACCCTCCTCTAACTATGCAAGGCACCAACCTGTCTTAGACTTAGGTTACTCAGCTATATAATCCCCATAATAGCATCTGCTATTCCTGTCTTACACAGTTGCCATGGTTAGCACATCAGTTACTCTATGCAAGAACACATTAAAAACGAAAGATCATTCAAATATGAAAGTTGTATTTTTGTGGAAGTTTTAGAAATGTTGAATTTGTGTCTTGTTTTGTAGGTTGTGGGGTGATCATGGGCAAGAGGCTTTAGAATCTGCTCATGTTTGCCTAATAAATGCAACAGCCACAGGAACTGAAATTCTTAAAAACTTGGTACTACCAGGTAATGTAGTTTTGTGGTTGTATTCTAAATTTACTTCTTTAAGATTTTAAACTAGAAATATATATTCTTTTCTTAAATTTTTTTTTAATTGTACTTTAGATGAAGGTTTACAGAACAAATAGTTTCTCATTAAACAGTCAGTACACATATTGTTTTATG